ATCATTGTTGTTTGGCCGGCCTGGGCTGGATTCGAACCCACCACCTTAGGTGTATGTGGCTGGCGCCTTAGCCACTTGAGCCACAGGCACCGACCCGTATTAATGCTTGATATGAGGACAATTAATGACCTAGTACAGGGTGGGGGGTAAGGGAACGGGAGATCAGAGAGAGAGAAAGAGTGAGGGGGTGGAGGAAAGGAAGAGCAGAGAGAGGGAAGGGGGTGGGGTCTTGGTGTGTGACACACCTCTTGGGGGCAAGACACAATTGTAAGAGGGACTTTACTTAACAAATGTAATCAGTATAACCTGGTTTCTTATACCCTCAATGAATCCCCCACAAAAAAAAAGAAAAAAAAAGAAGGGTGGCGCCTGTGGCTCATTGAGTAGGGCACCGGCCCTGTATACCAATGGTGGCAGGGTCAAACCTGGCCTTGGCCAAACCACAACAAAAAAATAGCCGGGCGTTGTGGCCAGTGCCTGTAGTCCTAGCTACTTGGGAGGCTGAGGCAAGAGATAGTGAGGGCGATAAAGTGAGACTCTATCTCTAAAAAAAGAAAGAAAGAAAGAAAGAAAGAAAAAGAAAAGGTAGTAACAAAAGTTGCCTGCCCTTAGGCGAAAAAAAAAATTGGTAAGAGATGTCCCAGGGAGGTCTTGGAGTCTATCTGTATTGTCCAAGCTCTCTGCAGCCCTGCCTCCCTCCTTATCGCCAGATAAGATTCTCTCTGTTGGGAGAAGGAATAGTCTTTTTTTGCCTGCTGGTTTCTTGGCCGTGGTGAGGCTTGAAGTTTAGTAGGACTCTTGCGTGTTCTATGGTAGAAACATTCTGCCCCTGAAAACCATAGCTTCTAGAAACTCAGAGCCCATAGTTCTGAGGACGGGAAGCACAGGTTTCCTAAGTGGGTGACTGGGACTAGTGGTAAGCATGGGCACTCCTATTTCCTAACACATATAGTCTACCTTTTGGGGACACAGTACCATAAAGTGGTCATTAGTTTAACATGTACACGATGTCTTGAAGGATAGTACCCAATCCCAGCAAGGTGTCACTTCTAAGTTATGTCTTCCAAAGACACTCATGCATCATGCTGGCAGTTTCAGGGTGGTGTGTTAAATGATAGGACCAGTGGATCTCATGGTCATATGGCCATTGACACACCTTTGTTACAAAGTCGGTCCTATGGTCTGCTGTGGTGCTATGGAAGACCGAATGATGATGGATCAGGCAGTATGTGAACTCCTGGATCGGAGGGCTAGCTGAGCCATTGCGGGTAAGAAAATCAAATTCACACCTAGAATATATCAAAAGAATTGATTTTTCCTGTCAAACAAATTGAGCCCTTTCAAGGTTTGTTTGGAAAGGGCCCAGTGTAATTCACTTGCCAAGAAGTGACTGGTTGGTTTCCTTCCAAGGATGATGCCAGAACAGGGGCTTAGCACTGGACTCTGTTTTGGCAATGGCACTAACTAGGTCAGCCTTAGCATTGGACTGTGCATCTTCATAGCCACGCCCATCACTAGGTCTTATTATTGGGGTAGGGCTTATATTTAACAAATGCATAGAAATCCTGCTAGGGCTTATTTTTTGGGTAGGTCTTATTTTTGGGGAAACACAGTAGCTGCCACATTCATGACCGCATCATTTCAGTGCTGGCTGGTGGAGGATAGAGGCTGGTTGACCTTCACTGGCCAAGTCATTTTTTCCTATCATTACTTTGTGGTGTGGTGCCTCTTCCATGATGGATGTTCTCTGGGGGGTGTCAACATGTGACACAAAGATCTCCACCCTTCATAATGATTCTTGCAGGTTCACACACATGTGTCCTACCCAGACTTTCCTATCCCCAATCTTCTACTCTTGTTCCAGGCCCTTGATCAAGAAATCAGGCCATTTACCACTGCCCACGTATGTCTACATAGTCTAACACGAGGCCACCTCTCTTTGCATATAAAGTGGATGACCGGCTGCAATGCTGAAAGCTTTGCTCTTTGAGAGGATTTCCCCTCACTACTCTTTCAAGACTATCTTCCAGTGGAGCTGCAGGGTATTCCATTTTTGGCTTGTAGCCACATACCAAGCTGACATCTATTAAGGAAGCTTAATCTCCTCTGCCAGCTGGTCCTGAGGGATGGCCCACCACACAGTCAAAAACTGGTGCATGGTGGATGATGCAGGAATCAGGGTCATTGCTTCTGCAGTGGCAGCTGTGTCATTTGATGCTGCTCAGGCCTGGCCCTGGTTGTAGATCTTTCATATTACAATAGTTTTTTGTTTGTTTGTTTTGAGACAGTTTCACTATGTTGCCCTCAGTAGAGTGCCATGGTGTTACAGCTCACAGCAACCTCAAACTCTGGGACTTAAGAGATTCTCTTGCCTCAGCCTCCCAAGTAGCTGGGACTACAGGTGCCCACTGCAATGCCTGGCTACTTTTTTTGTTATTGTTGTAATGTCATTGTTGTTTGGCAGGCCGGGGCTGGGTTTGAACCCACCAGCCCCGGTGTATGTGGCTGGCTCCTTAGCTGCTGAGCTACAGGTGGCGAGCTGATTATTTATTTATTTTTTTTGCTGTTTTTGGCTGGGGCTGGGTTTGAACCTGCCGCCTTCAGCATATGGGGCCGGCGCCCTTCCCTTTTGAGCCACAGGCACCGCCCTATTTATTTTTTGAGACAGAGTCTTACTCTGTTGCTCTGATTAGAATGCCGTGACGTCATAGCTCACAGCAACCTCAGACTTCTGGGCACAAACAATTCTCTTGCCTCAGCCTCCAGAATAGCTGGGATTACACGTGCCCACCACAAAGTTTGGCTATTTTTACAGAAGGGGTCTCGCTCTAGCTCAGGCTGGTCTCAAACTCCTGAGCTCCAGTGATCCACCTGCCTCAGCTTCCTAGAGTGCTGGGATTACAGGAACAAGCCACCACGCCCAGCCTTACAATAGATTGTTGTGCCCACCCACCCTTATGAGTTGGTGGGACTGACATAGCCTCGCTACAACAGGTGGTTCTGGCTTAATGGTTGATTGATGTCTCATAGTCAATCATTCAACTTCCACGAATGTGTCTACTCGAGTACATGCTAGGAGCTCTGTTTTTGTTTTGTTTTGCTTTGGTTTTTAATTGAACCAGGTGATAAAGAGCTGTTTTTCGAACAGTATATAATTTTCTGCTGCAGATGGCATGGCCTTGCTCCAGACTCTTAGGTGCCAACCTTAAGACTCTCCCTCTAGAGCTTGCATCAACTCCAAAGGTACAATA